CGGCAAGTGGGGCAGCGCGGGGGCCAGCGCCGAGTGGACCTGGCATTCTGCTCGCTGGTGAGAATGTTTCGCAGGCAGGTTCTCAGGGCGAGCGCAAGTCACGCGCGTCAACGAAGATCGGCATCAAGTGCGCGAGGCTCGACTAAGCCAGTGTTGGGCGAAGCTAGACGTGATGGCCATTTCCAGCTGGACGAAGCTAGCTGCGACGACAAGGGGGGGTCTTACGATAAAGGGAAGGGTGAATTTCCCAGAGCAACTAAAAGGGCGATGCGCGATCGCAAATATTGTTTGAAGAGAAAGATTCGCGCGCGATTGGGGACTCTCTAGCTGGGGCCTCCTGCCCGTGGTGCTGCTCGAGCTTTTGTTTATCCTGATGTCTCATCTTCTCTCCTCGACCTCTTCTTTCACTCCCCCCGCGCTCCAGCGCGCGTGGCTGGGCGATGCTAGGGGGGGCCCCCGTCGGAGGCGACGAGCTCGGCAAACGAAGCGTCGATGAAGTCGACGTCGGAGATCCCGCGCGCTTGCTGGCGAAACAGAAAATAAGCGCAACCGCGCTCACGACATCACTCCTTCCCCTTCTGGGCTGCTTCGGTTAGGCTCATGCTGGTTTTGACGTGCTTCTGCGGTGCAGTGGGCGTGCGACCCTCGGAGGGTCATGTTTCTAGACTCTGCGTGGGCCCTCCGCCATCGCGGTGCTCAACGTGGCATGTGGCATCAATTAATGCATGCGGCGGCGCGTGCTGTCATGTCCGCTGTGGACATGTTCCAGTCGACATCATGGTGATTTCCAGAGCGCGTTGCGCTTATCTTTGCGACTTTTCCTTGGTTTCGTTACCGTCGTTCACAACCTTCGCTCCGCAAGCGTAGTGTGGTTTGAATCCTGAGCTCCGCGAGCGTAGTTGATTCCTGCCTTTTGTCTAGTGCAGACCCCCCAGCTTTATTTAATCGCTTCGCTCATTCCGCCGGCCCATACAGTCTCATGTCTGCCGTTTGCCCGAGGGCCTGGTGTCAATGCGGCGCTTGGAGGCAGTGTTGAAGCCTCTTGAGGCCCCGTAAGGGCCGTTTGGGGGTCGTTGGGGCTTCTTGTTGGGCTTCTTGGGTGGTTCTTGGGGCGTCTTGGGGGACTTATTGGCGGGATGTTGGTGGCCTCAACGTCGCGTAGCGACGTGTCGCCTGTGATGCCTGGCGATGCCGTTCGACTATCGGCAATGTCTTCGTCCGGCTTTGCGTCTCTTGGCGTGTCGTTCGGATTCGGAGATGAGGCGTGTCGAGGACGGAGACGCCCTGAGAGAAGGTCGTCGCCGCGGCTGCACTTGCTTCAGGCGGCGGCCCCAACGCGGTCCTCACCAGCACATCCAGAGCCGACGCCCACGTGAGTTAAGGTGATCAGGGAAGTGTAGCAGTCAAGAGGGGGACCGCCGTTATCGTCGAAGGAGGCGGGGAGGAAGGGGCGGACGGGGAGGAGGGAGGAAGGAGGAGGAGGAATGGGCGGATGAGGAGGAGGACGAGGAGGAAGAGAAGAGGAGAAGCATGAGAAGAAGGTGGGGAAGGGGCATCAGAAGAGCCAGAAGCCTCGGCCCTCGTACAGTGAAGGTCGGCACTGCCGCGAGTACCATGGCATCCATTGCGTACCACATCTGGCGCTGGCTTGCACGTCGCGGGAGCACGTCCATCTTCATCACATAATGTCATTGTCGTTATGAGCGCCGCCGTCATTAGCAGAACCGCAGCGTGCCGCATCTTGTTTGTTTTGTTTCTGTCGACGTCGTCGTCGTCGTCGTCGGGGGTGTGATGGGAGGCATCACGCTCTGGGCGGCGTGCGGAAGCCATTGTGTGAGAGGGCGCGGTGGTGACAAGAACAGCTCGCCCCACCCGGCTTTCCGGGCTTTCCGGCGTAAGGAGGGCTTCTTTGCGGCACGTGTGAACGCTCCTGGACAGTGCTTTGTGGGCAGGTTCTTGACGCCTGTGGCAGGTCTGTAGGGGCTTCGTTGGGAGTCTATCGAAAGGAGAGCACATTGTAGCATCGCTTGCACTTGCTTGCGTGCTCGGGGGGGGCATTTGGGGGGCCTCCTGGGGCCGCTTGGGGGACTCTCGGGGGCCTCCTGAGGGCCTCTTGGGGGCCTCTTGGGGCCTCTTAGGGGCCTCTTGGGGCCTCGTGGGGGCTTCTTAGGGCCGAGGGCTCGAAATGTTGTTTCGTGTTCCCTCTCTGGGGCCCCTTTGGGAGCGTTCTTGCGGCCCTCTTGGACCGTCTTGGAGGCTTCTTGGGCCGTCTTCGAGCCTTCTTGGGCCATCTTGGGGCCCTCTTGGGGGCCTCTTGGGCCTTTTGGGGCGATCTTGGGGGCCTCTTGGGCCGTCTTGGGGCGTCTGGAACCCGAAAAGGTGGAAGCTCCAAAATCTTTCAAAAATCATAGGAAAACCAATGATTTTTGCCTCCTGGGGCCCTTTTGGGGGTGCTCTGGGGGTGCTCTTGGAGGCTTCTTGGGGCGTCTGGGGGCTGTCTTGGGCGTCTTGTAGCGATCTTGTGGCATGTCGGACCCCTCGTGTGCCATCTTGGGGGCCTCTTGGGGGCCTCTTGGCCTTTCTTGGGGCTCTCGGGGACGTCTCGGAGCCCTGTTGGTGCGCTCATGGAGCGCTCTGGTGGCTTCGCCCGGGGATCAGCCGGGCTTCGCCCGGGGTATTTTTCGTCCGCGGACCCGCAGGGGCCGCCCCGCGCGCGCGAACTAGAGAATTGTTAACCAGTTACCGGAGATCTTAGCACGCCTCTGGCCCGTTGGGCCGGCGAATAGTGCAGACCCCCCAGCTTTATTCAATTTTCTTGTTTTCGTGCCCACCAGTCGCACGGGTTGCCCTCCCTCGCGCCCCGACAGCTGGGTTGCCGGGCAAACTAGTGTGGTCCTCCATCGGCCTCCTGCATGCAGTGTGCCCCTTTGTTCTTGCATTGTAGTGTTAGTAGCGCTCCGTGTGCTCCCGCACCTGCACTGGCCCATGGTTTTTTTTCTACGTGCGTTCGCGGTCTCGCGTTTTTCTGTATGCGTGTGCTTTCATCCAGACCCCCCTTTGCAGCGCTAGGTGGGGATTGGACTGAGCGTGCCCAGCTTTAGTCGCCGCGACGGTGCCGCCACTTCGCCGGTGGAAAAAGATTGCGTGTGCGAGTGCGTGACGTGTTTACGTCTGGTGACCTGCATCTGGACCGCCCGATGGGATCCCAACGGGCCGCTAACGAAAACTTTGCCTGTGTGTTTGTACACGCCCGCGTGTGCGCACGTGCGCGTTTGCCTGTTTGCGCGCCTTCTGCGTCAGTGTATTCGCGCCTGTGTGTGTGTGCGTGTGTGTTGCGTTGGGCTATGATGTGTTGCGTTCCGTTGAGGTGCGATGCGTTGTGTTGCGCCGTGTGCGAGCGAGCGTGCGCGCGATCGTGCCTGCGCGCAAACCCCCCCGTCCCACCCGAAACGGTGCACGAGGAACCCTGGTGCCCATCCCATGATGGAAGGGGCGCCAGCCCGCGACTTGAGATTGTATCTGGCGTGTTCCAGCCAGGGTCACCGCCCGTGGCGCGTCCCCGCCCTCGGCGGGGAGCGCTGGGAGGCCGGCGAGAGCCAGCGGCAGCGAAGCGCGGCGGCGGGTCCGCCGCTGGAAGCAGGCAGAAGCTCGGCGGTCCCCGCATGTGCTTCCTCTTTCGGCGGCGGGCGGCGAGCGAGAGGGGGAACGAGAAGGAGGAGGCCCTCTCAGAAGGCAGCGGGGCCTCTCAGCAGCCTTCGCGCCTGCGGAGGAGTTGTCGGTGCCTTCGGGGGGAAGGCTCGGGAAACTTTTCGGAAGGTCGGGGGACCTCCGAGCCTTCCAAGAGGGCCCGCCCCTTCGCACTTCCGCCCCCCGCTCGTTCGCCGCCGACTCTTGGCCCCCTCCGACGGGGTCTTAAGTGCTTCCGCCGCGCGCCGTCTCTGGTTGTTTTTTAGCGAGGCCCGTCACGAAACGCCCCATACTAGAAATCGATCTTAATATTCATTGTTTTGCCGATCGGCGCGTGCCCTCGCACCCCCCTCCGCCCCCCCTCTGGAGTAGATCTTGGCCGTTTTCTGGCGCCTGTTTCAAGCAGGTGGAGTCTCCCCCGTAGGACGTACTGTCGCAAACAGTCGCGCTAAGCAGAGTTCCGGAGCCAGACCCCCCCCCTCTCCCCCGGCCTTCCGCCCACTGTCGAAACGCCGAATAAGAAGCGCTCATAACTTTTCGGGCTCAGAGTCGGCGGAAGGCGGCGGAAGCAGCAGCGAGCCGTCAGCATGCTTGGGCCCAGGCCTCCTGGGGCTGGGCGCGCGTGGCCGGCGCGAGTGGCCGTGTGCGCGAACCCTCCGCGCGTGGATCTCCAGCACGGGAGTCCTCCACAGTGTGCCGCACGGGAGTCCAGCCACGGCTGCCTCCGGCCTCCTGCAGCAGTGAGGCGTGAGCATCCGTGGGCCCACGGGCTCCGGGATCGGTCATCCAGCGGGGGCCGATGCACGCCCAAGGTCTATTGGCGGCGCGCAGAGGGAGGTATGGGGAGGGGGGAAGACTTCCCAGAAGCACCCCTGCTTCTTGGAAGGCGCGGGCCTTGTCTGTAAACGTAAGGCCCGCGGCTTCTGAAGAGCAGCCTCCTTCAAAGAAGCCTCCCCCCCTCCCCCTGTTCCTCTCTGCGCGCCGCCAAGTTTGGGCCCGAAGTGGGTTTGCACGGGCCTGCCCGTGGAGGCATGTCGGCGGTATAGTTCCCTCTCTCTCTCCAGGGCAGTGCCCATCCCGATTCGATCGATCCGATCCGACGTCGGATTCCACTGCTGGCTCGATCCCATTCGACTTTGACTTCGATTTCCTGGCGATCCGATGCCCGATGCTGCCCCGACGTTGGTACAGCCTAGTTGCATACCAGGGCGCAGCCGATTCGATCCAATATTGATCCCGAGCCGATGCAGTCCGATTCGATGCTCGTTCTGACTCGACCCGATTTCCAGATTCGATGACCATTGATCTTCCAGGAGCGGGAGAAGGCGTGCGGCAGCTCCCATCCAGCGACGCTGCAGTCCCTCAACAACCTGGCCGTGGCGCTGGGCAGCCTCGGGCGCTTCGCCGAGGCTGAGGGCATATACTGGCAGGTCTATTTCTCCATGGAGATCTCTTTGGGGCGCACCCACCCGCAGACGCTCGCTGCCCTGAACAATCTGGCGAACTGCCTGTGGAACGCTGGCCACCACTGGCAGGCGGAAGAGTTCCACCGCCGAGCACTGGAGGACAAGTTGGCGCCGGCTGGGCACCAGCACCGGTCCTGTCCGGGCCAGTCCTAGACCCAGGATTGGTGTGTACGTCCCCCTGGCCGTGCCAAGAAGGCGCTTACACCGATCCCCAGCTTTTGCCTGGCCCGCTCAGGACCAGTGCAGGTGTGTAGTCGGTGTCATCCTGTAGGACCGCGAGTCCATACTTGGCCCCACTCACCCCAGCACCCTGCAGGCCATCAGGAGGAGAGCAGGAGGAGGATAAGGATGAGGAGGAGGAGGAGGAGGAGGAGGAGGGGGAGGAGGAGGAGGAGGAGGAGGAGGAGGAGGACCAGTGTAAACCCAAGACGCGTCCACGATGTGGCAATAAACCCTCTCTCCAAGTCCCCTCTTCATAGGTCCCTACACGAAGTCATTTTCATTGCAGGAAGTGCCCCATTGAAAGACGAGCGTTGGAGAATGCTCAACCGTGTCCACATGCAATTCCTGGGATTTCAACGCCTCGAATCGACGTGACTATTGCGTCCTGGCGACCCTAAGTCGTGCCAGAACGCAACCCCTGGGACTTCAACACCGCAAATCAACATGATTGTTGCGTCCTCACAACCCTAGAGTGTGCCAGAACACCGGTCTTGGGACTTCAACCGTGCGAGTCCTTCAAACGGTTCTGAACTGTTGAGACGTATGCGCGGCGCTAAGGCGAGAGCCGCATTTTGAAAACGATCCACCCTCCATCCGTGAAGCTCCTGCGATGTTTTCAGACGACTGCGCGCGGCGCTAGGGCGGGAACCACATTTTGAAAACCACCCAACCTCTATCCTTACAAACTGCTGCAATATTTTAAGACGAATCTACGCGGCGCTAAGGCGAGAGCCACACTTTGAAATGGAACGGCCATTCATTTGTGAAGCTCCTGCAAACTTTAAGACGACTGTCCGCGACGCTATGGCGAGAGCAACGTTTTGTGACCCAGCCGCCCTCTATCCATGAAGCTTGTCTGCAAATTTCGAGGAAGTTCCAAGCGAAACGCCAAGCCCGCACTACCGACACATCTGGGGGTGCGATACCGAGGAGTTATTCCCGAATCAGTGCTTGCACTGGAGTGGTCCTAGCGGAGGTTGAAAGATCTGGCGAAAGTTCCTGGCCGATTTCGGGGGGCGGCCGGGTTCCCGGGTTCCCGGTTCTGGGTTCGCCGGTTCCTGATTGCTGGTTCTGGGCCGATTTCGGTGGGCGGCGGGGTTCCCGGGTTTCCGTGTTCCCCTGTTCCTGGTTGATCTTTTTATCGATCGGTCTCACTATTGATCGCGTTACCCACCTCTTTGTCGATCTAACAATCGATTGCTTAATCAATCGCACAATCGATCTCACAATCGATATCATAATCGATCTCACCAACGATTTCACTAACGATCGCACGATCGATCTCGCTATCGATCTCACTGCATCGATTTCATTATCGGTCTCACGATCGACCTTGCTGTCGTCCTCACGATCAATCCAACTATCGATTTTAGAAAGAGCGTGTTCTACCGCTGCTGGCGGAAAACCGGGGGGGGGTCACTACCGGTTCGAACCCCTCCCCCCCCCCCCCCCCGGAAAACCGGGGGGGGTCACTACCGGTTCGAACCCCTCCCCCCCCCCCCCTCATCATGAAAAGGGGGGGGGTCACTACCGGTTCGAACCCCCCCCCCCCTCGAAAACCGAGTGGGGGTGCGGACAGTGGTGGGGACGGTGTTGGTGGGGACAGTGGTGAGGGGACAGCGGGACAGTGGTGGGGACAGTGGGGGGACAGTGGGACAGTGGTGGGGACGGTAGTGGTGGGGACAGTGGTGGGGACAATGGTGGGAACAGGGGGGACAGTGGACAGTGGTGGGAACGGTGGTGGTGGGGACAGTGGTGTGGGGACAGTGGGAATGAGGTGGAAACACTGGGACAGTGGAGGGTACAATGGTGGTGGGGACACTGGTAAAGGCGTCGGCGAGGACGGCGGTGGGACAATGGGACAGAGGTACAGTGGGGACAGTGGTGGGGACAGTGGGGACAGTGGTGGAAACAGTGGGACAGCTCAGTGGGACAGCGGAGGAGTCAGTGGGACAGTGGGGACAGTGGGGATAGGCAGTGGTTGGGTCCGTGGAGACAGTGGGGAGAGTGGAACCGTGGTGGGAACAGTTGTGGGAACAGTGGGGACAGTGCGACAGTGGTGGGGGCATTGGTGGGGACAATAGGGACGGTGGTGGAACCAGTGGGGACAGTGGTGGTGAGGACAGTGGTGCTGGGAACAACAGTGGGGGATGTGATGCGAGCGGTGGTAGGGACCGGGAGTCGTTTGCTCGCGGTGCGTGGGGGGGGGGTCGAACCGGTAGTGACCCCCCTCCGGTTTTCGAGGGGGGGGGGGTTCCAACCGGTAGTGACCCCCCCCGGTTTTCCGGATCCGGAAGGGGGGGGGGGGGGGGGGGGGTTCGAACCGGTAGTGACCTCCCCCGGTTTTCGAGGGGAAGGGGGGGGGGGGGGGTAGGGGAGGGGGGGGGTTTGCCGGGAGGGAGGGGGGGGGGGGAGGGGTTCCGACAGGGGGGGGATTTTCGGAGGGGGGGGGGGGAGACCCCCGGGTTCCGGAGGAAAAGGTTGGCAATTTTCCACAGTAAAGCGGCGGTGGATCACGCTCTCTCCGATTTTACAATCTACCTCGCAATCGATTTTACTATCTACATCACTATCGCGCTCACTAACGATCCTAACATCGATCTCACGATCGATCTCACTATTGCTCTCACGATCGATCTCACTATGCTGCCACGGGACACCACGGGCCGATTTGGTATGTAGAACTACATGCATACATGCACACACAGAGAATCCCACCAGCCGTCTAGGGCGTAGGTGGTTCAACGAGTTTTGTCTTCTCTCTGCCAAAACCCCTCCTTCTCCTGCTCTGGGTAGGGGTTTCTTTTTGCTCTTTCTTGATAAACACCCCCTCCCTCACCCGACTGTGGGCCAACCCCGGGCCATGCCAACACCACCCCCCCACCACCCTTGTCAAAAAACAGTGCTGGAAGTACTCTGCCTCCAAATCTCGAGCATGCGCGGGCGCCCCGCGACCACTCTGCACTGGTTTCTGACAGGGACGGCGGGGGTGCCGGCATGCTGTTTCTTGCGCACGAGTGGCGCGCAGGCCGGCCGCCCTCGTCAAAGAACAGAACAGCATCTACTTCGCCTCCACATGCGGAGCACGCGTGGGCACCCCGTGGCCATCTCGGCGGGCGCCCCGGTGCCACGGTGCAGTGGTTTTCGTGGAGGATTGGGCGGGTGCTGGCATATCGCTTGACGCCGTGCATACCTTTGCCAGTGGCCCAAAGCTGCGGTCTGATGTCAAGCCCGCGTTCCCGTGCCCCGCGCAGGCCACGACCCTTGTCAGAAAACAATACAGAGTGCACACTGCCTCCAACTCTGGAGCACGCGCGGGCGCCCCGTCCATCACTTTCATTCGCTTTCGACATCTATTGTGCGCAAGTTGCGCGCAGCCCAACCGTCCCTGTCAAAACAAGACAGGATGCACTTTGCCTCCAAATCTGGAACATGCTCGGGGGGGCCGCGACCACTCTGCATGGGTTTTTGGCAGGGGGTGCTGGCATATTGCACATTATCGGTCGGTCCTCCGTTTGCTTTGTGGTGGATGGATATTTTTTATGGTGTAGTTGAGAGAAGCACCTCGTGGCCCCGCTGCGCAGACCACGCGGGGTCCCATTTCGCCACGCCTGCATGCTCAGGGGTTGCAGGGGCATCGTCAGAAGCATAACATTGTTATGACGGCGATGCCGGAAGCGGCAACAAGAAGTGATACCGAAGTTGTCGGCTTGACCTTTCCTGCCATTCCGCCTGCATATCAAACTTCAAAGACCAAGGTGCGTGGCGAAAAGCGCCCATGCAATCTTGTGTATATATATAATGTTTATATTTACTTGCAGGGGCGTGTTGGGGGGAGACCTGCGACGGAAGGGTGTGTCGAAACATCGTTGACGTATATTGGGTTTGTATTGGGCTTGCTCCGTCCTCCCCCTCCAGACTTTCCCCGCCTCCCCAGCTTCCTCCCCCATCCCCGTCCCGCTCCAGCGCACGGTCGCCTCTCCCGGAAACGGGCACCTTATGAGCATCTTTCCAGCAGGGGGATGGTCCGTCGTTTTGGGTCCGTGGTATTCTCCCACGACGCGGTGATCTCAGGGTATGGTGGGCATTCTCTTCCTGGACACTGGCCGCGCGTGGCATGGTCACCGTCGAACGGTGCTGCTATCCCCCACCAGGGGCGGTCACCCCTGGTGTGTGTGTGTGTGTGTGCTTGATCAAGCTGGTAGATTGTAAGGTAACGTCAACGAGAATGAGGACACCTGGGAGCGGGATACGTGCCTGGAGCCCCAGGGGGGGGGAGGGAGAGAGGACGACGGGACGGCGGCCGCGACCTGCAGGCGGCAGTCTCCTCCCCCCCTTCGGCCGTGCAGGCTCTGAGTTACCTGGCCCGAGGTGTTCCCCAGCAGGGCCTCAGCAGACGCTCGTGCCCCGTGAAGCAGCACACGGACACCATGTCCGCCCTTTTTCCCAGTTGTGGGTGCTCCTGGCTGTCCGGGGCTGCCCTGCTCCTGACCGCTGCCATGCCACGCTCGCTCTGGAAACGCATCGCGCGCCGCGCTCGAAACGTCCGCGCCAGCACGCTGCGCGTCGGCTCGGCGCGTGACGGCCCGATGTTGGGCACGCGCGTCGCGCCAGACCCAGGTGTTCAGTCTGCGTGCCGCGCCCCCTGCCGGAGCAGCCGCGGGCTGCGCGCGGCGCGCCGGGGCGGCGGAGCCGTGCCCTGCTCGCCCCCGCAGTCCCTGAACAACCTGGCCAACATCTGGCAGGCGCTGGGGCACCTCGAGGACGCGGAGACGCTGAGGCGGCGCGCCCTGGAGACCACGCGGCAGGACCGCCGCCGTGGCCTGCCGCCGCCGTCGCCGCCGCCGTCGCGAGGGCCCCGACGGGGCGAGCCTGCCCTCGGGGTGCCGACCGCTCGAGGCTTTCGCGGGCGCCCTCCGCCGGCTCCTGGCGGCTTTTCCTGGCCTCGGGGTGCCTCCCGGCAGCTGCGCCTCGCGGGGAGCTTTTCCAGGGGTCCAGGATGGTCCCGAACGGGGTCCAGGAGGCCCGAGACCAGAGGACCACAGGGGGGGATGGCTCAGGGAGGGACGCATGGAACCTCGGTCGCCCATTCGTCACCGATGGGGGCCTGATAGCCCACCCCGCCCAGGGACGTGTGGATTCACTATCTGGGGCGTGTCGCCGATCTATCGGCGACGTATTGCCGATTCCAGGTCGATGCTCCCCCCCTGATCCAGTCCCCCCCTGACGTTGTCCCTGAGTCGTGAGGAACTCGATGTGACGACCCCATCTTCCCAGATCAGTCCTGGCAGTCGCTGCGGGACTGGGGTGACCGTCGGATCCAAGATTTCGTTGTCGATTTTTGTTGGCGGGCACCTTCCCAGACCCCCTCGCGTCCCGAAGAAAAAAAAGGCGGATGTTGTCGACGCTTGCTGTTAGGTTCGGCCTCCGGAGGCCCGCGCTGGGCCCTGGGACCGTGAAGAAAGCAACTGGGGATGAGAAGCCAGTCCTGGGCTTGGCTTCAAGTCGGGCATGTCCCTTTACAGGACGAATATCCAAGAACAGTCCAGACATAGTCAGGGGACGATTTTTGGATTATGTTTTTCCCAACCATCCTGTGGTGTTGGATCCTCGTTTTGACGAGACAGCGCCCCGCGTTCTCCTCCTTCCTTCCTTACTCCTCCTCCCCTTCCTCCCTCATTTCGTAGCCCCATAGGGAGCTCCACCGAAGGCTCCAGTGGGACCGGCCGAATGCTTCGCCCACCACCCAGTAAAGCGTTTCGTGGCCCCATGGAGGGCTCCACCGAAGGCCCCAGTGGGACCACCCGCATGCGTCATCCACCACCCAGTACAGCGCTTTGTGGCCCCATAGGGGGCTCCACCGAAGGCCCCAGTGGGACCACCCGCATGCGTCATCCACCACCCAGCGCAGCGCTTCGTGGCCCCATGAGGGGCTCCACCGGAGGCCCCAGTGGGACCGCCCGCATGCGTCGTCCACCACCCAGCACAGCGCTTCGTGACCCCATAGGGAGCTCCACCGAAGGCCCCAGCGGGACCGCCCGCATGCGTCATCTACCACCCCATACAACGCTTCGTGACTCCATAGGGAGCTCCACCGAAAACTCCAGTGGGACCACCCGCATGCGTCATCCACCACCCAGTACAGCGCTTTGTGGCCCCATGGGGGGCTCCACCGAAGGCCCCAGTGGGACCGCCCGCATGCGTCATCCACCACCCAGCACAGCGCTTCGTGGCCCCATGAGGGGCTCCACCGGAGGCCCCAGTGGGACCGCCCGCATGCGTCGTCCACCACCCAGCACAGCGTTTCGTGACCCCATAGGGAGCTCCACCGAAGGCCCCAGCGGGACCGCCCGCATGCGTCATCCACCACCCCATACAACGCTTCGTGACTCCATAGGGAGCTCCACCGAAAACTCCAGGGGGACCGCCCGAATGCGTCATCCACCACCCAGTACAGCGCTTCGTGGCCCCATAGGGGGCTCCACCGAAGGCCCCAGTGGGACCGCCCGCATGCGTCATCCACCACCCAGCGCAGCATTTGGTGACCCCATAGGGAGCTCCACCGAAGGCGCCCGTGGGACTTTCCGAATGCTTCGCCCACCACCCAGTACAGCGCTTCGTGGCCCCATAAAGGGCTCCACCGAAGGTCCCAGTGGGACCGCCCGCATGCGTCATCCACCATCCAGTACAGCGTTTCGTGTCCCCACAGGGAGCTCCACCTAAGGTCCCCGTGGCGGAACTCGCATGGCGGCCCGGTGGCGGAGTTCGCATGGCGGCGACTTTCGATTTTCGGCGGTTTTTCGTCGTATTCGACGTGTTGAGGCCGCTCTCGGGCTGCGCATCCCGGGCGGGAGCCAGCCTGCTCGCTCTCTCTGCTCAGCGCAGCGGACGACCCGCGCGCGTCGCCGGGACCCTTTCGCGGCGACCAGCGCGCGTCGCGGGGACTCCGTGGTCCGTGTGCACGGGCAAAGAGGGAAAAAAAGAACGGGAAGGAAGCGGGCGCGATCCTCGTGAGAGGCGTGCCGTTATGGGCGTCGACCTTTATGCACGTAGACTCACGCGCGCGCAGACTCATCCACAATCAGACTCACTCGCTCTCAGTCTCTCGCACTCAGACCTGTCGTCTTCGCTCGCGTTGTGTGCCCCGCCACGCATGTCGGCACGCCCCTCCCGCGGTTCGTGGCCCCATAGGGAGCGCGGGCGAAGATGATATTCATAGTTGCGGTACTCACAACTGCATATGGTTGGGTCCTTCGCCAGGCGAATTTCTGGTTGAACAAATGTTTTTGACTTTTCCCAGCCACCCTGTGGTGTCAGGTCTTCGTTTTGAAGAGACAGCGCCCCGCGTCCCCACTCCTCCTCTCCTCGTCCCTCCTCCCCCTCCTCCCTTCTCCATCACAATCATCATCATCATCATCATCATCATCATCATCATCATCATCATCATCATCATCATCATCATCATCATCATCATCATCATCATCATCATCATCATCATCATCACCCGTTGCAGCACACCCCTCACACGTTTCGTGGCCCCATAGGGAGCTCCACCGAAGGCCCCAATGGGGCCGCCCGCATGCGTCGTCCACCACCCAGCACAGCATTTCGCGGCTCCACCGAAAACTCCAGTGGGACCGCCCGAATGCGTCATCCACCACCCAGCACAGCGCTTCGTGACCCCATAGGGAGCTCCACCAGAGTCCCCAGTGGGACCGCCCGCATGCGTCGTCCACCACCCAGTACGGCGCTTCGTGGCCCCATAGGGAGCACCGCCGAAGGCTCCAGTGGGACCGCCCGCGTGCGTCACCCACCACCCAGTACAGCGCTTCGTGGCCCCACAGGGATCTCCACCGAAGGCCCCAGTGGGACCGCCCGCATGCGTCACACCCACCCAGTACGGCGCTTCGTGGCCCCATAGGGAGCTCCACCGAAGGCCCCAGTGGCACCGCCCGCATGCGTCACCCCCCCACCCAGTGCAGCGCTTCGTGGCTCCATATGGGGGCTCCGCCGAAGGCCCCAGTGCACCGCCCGCCCGCATGCTTCACCCCCACCCAGTCCAGCGTTTCGTGGCTCCACAGGGAGCTCCACCGAAACCCTCACTGGCACCGCCCGCATGCGTCACACCGCACCCAACACAGCGTTTCGTGGCCCCACCCCATTGACACCACCCGCATGCGCCACCCCCACCCAGAACAGCGTTTCGTGGCCCCACAAGGAGCTTCACCGAAGGCCCCAGTGGCACCGCCCGCATGCGCCACCCCCACCGAGTGCAGCGTTTCGTGGCGCCATTTGGAATTCAACGGGAGGCCCCATTGGATGCGCATGCGCGCGTCGCCCCCGCTCTATGCAGCGTTTGGTGGCCCCATAGGAAGCTGCAGGGAAGGCCCCACTGGCGTTGTTCGCATGTGTTTCCCCCACCCAGCACAACGCTTCGTGGCCTCATGGCGAGCTGCACCGAAGGCCCCAGTTACTGTACTCGCATGCGTTTCCCCGCCCATAACATTGTTTCGTTGCCCCGTAGGGAGTTGGTGCACTCCTCACACTTTTCGCGGCACCGTGGCGGCCCCGCCCCACATCGGCACATCCCTCGCATGCTTCATGGCCGCGTGAGAAGATCCTCCAGAGGCGATGCCGGCAACGACGGTACTCACAACTGCATTTGTTGGGTTCTTCGCCAGTAATTCTTACAACATCTGCCTGTAGGGGGACATGCCCGACCTAAGCTTCGCTGCCTTGATACGACCGTGCTGATGCGCAACATGTGCTGTGCCCAAAGCGTCCTTGTCAATACGTCGCGTGTTGACTCAGCGTATTGGCCCACGTTTTGGCGAACGTATCGCGTCAAACCTACGTGTTCAGTCAACGCGTTGAGCTCCGTATCAATACGCTACGTGTCGCGTCATTCGTATCGGGGCAGGTAATGTCCTGGGGAATGGGTCGGGACCTTTGGGGGTCGACGCTATGAACAAATCGTTACGTTGGGAATTCGGGAGCTTGGGTTACCAGACGTCCGAAGGATTCAATTTTCCAGTGCAGGCATTTATCTTTTTTTGGTTGGCTTCGGGAGGTGGTTTTCGGGCCATGGGGCCCGCAGAAGTAGGTCCAGGACGAAAAATTCGATCCCCAGGGAGCGGGGTCGGGGACTCTAGGGCCCGCGGACGGAAATCTGATCCGTCGAAAGCCGTTTGGGTTTGCCGGTGATTTTTGAGGCCAGGCCGATCCGCACGATCCCCGGGGCCCCAAGCAGAGCAAGTCTAGCTTGGGGGTGCCGAACGGTGGGGGCGCGACTCGTGAGGGGCCTCGAGGTCCGACGTTGGAGGTTTGCGACCTGTGGGCGCCGATGCCCGGCGGCTCTCCGGCGCCGGCGAGGCGGGGCGCGGCGGCGGCGTCGTCGTCGGCGACGACGAGGGCGACGACGACGACGACGACGACGACGACGACGACGACGACGACGACGACGACGACGACGACGACGACGACGACGACGACCGACACCGACGACGACGACGACGACGACCGACGACCGACACCGAGGTCCACATCCTTTTTGTCTCACACAGCCGTGACAAGAAGATTCGGTCGATGGACCTGAAGGACTTGCGCCGAAAGCGCCCGGGCAAGACTGCCTACACCGCCAGGCTCAAGTGCTGAAGTTCGGCCATGGCCACACGGTGGCAGACGTCGTGGCCGGTAGGTTCCAGAGGCCCTGCAAGCAGGTCGTGGATCGCAAAAGGGCATTTGCCGACAATTGTTTTTTGTTTGCTCGTTACTTGGGCTTGCACTTGCTCTGGGCATGTTTCGCGAG